GTCCTCCTGCCTCAGCCTCCCCGGTAGCTGGGACTACAGACATGTGTCACCATGCCCAGCTAATTTTTTCTATTTTTAGTTGTTTGGCTAATTTCTTTCTATTTTTAGTAGAGAAGGGGTCTTGCTCTTGCTCAGGCTGGTCTTGAACTCCTGAGCTCAAGTGATCCTCCCGCCTCGGCCTCCCTGTAAACCCTGCTAGGATTACAGGCGTGAGCCACTGTGCCCAGCTGTAAATAGTTCTTATAAATCAATAATAAAGACTAATAACCAAATAGAGAACAATAAACAAAGGATATGAACAAACGCTTCACAAAAAGGAAATCAAATGTTTCTATATGAAAAAATTTCAACATCACTCACATCAAAACTAAAACTGTAGTAAGGTAGCATTTTTCATCTGTCAGATTATCAAATGTCAAGAAATTTGATAAAGCTGTACAGGTGTGGGGACATAGGCACTCATACACATGGTATGCCATTCATTTAAACTGCTGAGGAGGACACTTTAGGAATATTTATCCATTTATATATGTGAATCGTAGGTATAATGACAATTATTATGATTTCAGGCATCTTTCAATAACTGTTGTGTGTTCTAAGTGTGTGCTACAGTAACTACTTTACTCCTGACAGCAGCCCCATGGGAAGAGTCCTGGCGCTTTTTATTTTTCAGACTGGAACCTAAGGCACAAAAGAGTAGTTGAAGTGGCAGAGGAGTTAGATGTGGCCGATCTGGCCCAGGGCCCTCAGTCCTGCCACTGCAATACTTGCCTCTTATTGCAGCAGCCTCTGGTAGAGAAGAGGCTGGGAGACAGCCCTGTCATTCCTCAGGAGGGGCTGGGTTGTGCAAATTATGGCACATCCATCCAGTGGCACCCCACAGCCCTTCATGAAAGGGAGCCCTTTCTGTGTGCTGCATTTCATTCCTCCTAAGACACACGCTCACACGGTGTGACACCTCTGAAATCAGGGTGCATCATACAATCAATGGCATCTGATAGTTTTAATTAGTGACACTGTTTTTTTCCTTAGTGGTACATATGGTACTAGTACATCTTAGATTCAATTAAATATAATAAGTGATTTTAATTTTCTGTAACTTTCCAAATTTTCTACCATGAAAACATACTGCCTTTGGACTCAGGAAAAAGTTAGAGTACTGGATATGGCATCTGATTTTCAAGGCTGACTTTTGTTCTTGCTTGATGACAGGGACTTCTCCACGGCATTCTTTAACAGCATCCCCCTCTCGGGCTCCTTGGCGGGCACCATGCTCTCCTCTCATAGCAGTCCGCAGCTACTGCCACTGGACTCCAGTACCCCCAACTCCTTCGGCGCCTCGAAGCCTTGCACAGAGCCTGTGGCAGCCACCGGTGCCAGGCCTGCAGGCGATTCTGTCAATAAGGACAGGTCAGTGGGCACCAAGCCTTATTCCTGTCCCTGGGGAAAGTTCAGGTTTGCATACAGTTTTGTGACAGAGGATTTCATTCTATTTTCACTTTGTGGCCCCTTCAATGAAAAAAGAAAGAAGGAAATGCTTAATTTTAGATGGAGCCTGCCTGGAGGGAAGGACTTACTCAGGTGAGTCTCTGAAACTCAGGACTGTGAGGACTTCACAAAGAGGGTGTCATGGCAGACCAAGGATCAGGCTAAGACAGGGGACCTGCCAGTGAGATGCACCCATCGCAGAATCAGCCCCACCTGCTGACAGATCTACACTGGATGTGGCTTCACATTTCCGGGGCCTTGGCCTCCACTTTACTCTGTGTGGTATATCACCACACCATTCGTCCCAGGCAGGGTGTTTATGTAGGAGGGCACAGACTCCCCTCGTACTCTGAGAATTATATTCACCCAGAGAGCCTTTGTCTTCACCGACCTTTTCCTGGAAACCAAGTTAGAAGTCAGAAAGGACCAGGCAAGTGCAGATAAGAGCCAGGAGTGGACGTTTGCCCAGCACCTGCTCTGGGTTACACATTGTGCTAGGCCCAGGCATCCAGAGGGGTTGATGGGTGGGTCCTAGTCCTTGGAGTGTGTAGGCTGGTGGGGAAGAGGCCACCACAGGGTTGCAGATGGCTCTTCGGGTCCTTTGGGTAGAAATGGCTGCCCATCTGAAGGGGGATCGCTGCGCAGCTCTCAAAGAGATGTTTCAGAGGGTGCCCCATCCAGGGCCCATATAAGCCAGCCAGGGGAAGTGGGGTGGGTAGTAGGGACAGCAGCAAGAGCAGCATCCCGAGTTCCTGAGGAAGGACCAGAGAGGGGAGAAAGCCCGGGTTTCTGTGCTGAACTGAGTAGACTGCGCTTCTCCCCAGAGCAGACACATACAAGACTTTGGGACTTGCATTTTAGGAAGATGCTTCAGTAGGCCTTGGTGCCCAAATTTAGCCACCCCCAGCACACACAGCCGACAATGTTGGAGTGATTCTCCACTGGTGGGGATGGGGTCTTGTGTTACCACAGCCTCCTACTTGTGGGTGCTGGCACCCTCACCATGGAGGCAGGCACCAAGCATCGGGTTTCACTGCCCTGAGCAACTGTGAGCAGGGTAGGAAGAGAAGGAGACTGAGCAACAAGACCAGTGAGGAAGCAAAGCATACAGGGAAGAAGCACGTCTGGAAAGATGTGGGTCTGTGACAGACAGTGCCAGATCTAAAAACTGTTTCAGGGTTGACCCTACAGATCCTGATGCCCACAGGTCATGGAGGAGGAGGAGGAAAGGGCTGTCCAGGGTGTGGGGTCCAGGCAGATGGAGGTGGAAAGTGTTAACCTGGATGTGGTCAGCAGAAGGCCCAGTAGCTTTGGTCCCCAGCATGTGGAATGGGCTGGGCACACTTAGGCCTGGGCCTCCTTTCTCTAATGAGTAGAAGGCAAAAGCTGTGGTGTGAGCACTTTGAGGAGAGTGCTGAGAATTTGTCATTGTCACAGAGATAGGAGGGGCCGCCCAGGACAGAGGGTGCTTGGCTGAGGATGAAGGCCAATAGCAGACCATGGCTTCAGGACCCCAGATGGGGGCATTTCTTATCCAGCCTGTTGTTGAAATGGGAAAGGCTGGTGCTTGGAGTGGTTTGGGATGGAGAGGCTGTATTTAAGTTGTGGAAACAGGGCTGTATGGTTAGAGAAAAGGATTATAAGAACACTTTCTAGGCCTCCCGCCCCCAAAAGCTCTCCGAACACAGGGGCGAACGTGAATGCGCTTGTTTACAACCTACTCAGGTAACCAGACTTCCAGAATTATAACACATGAAAATTTTAAAGAAATAGTCAGGAACAGTAGATTATATCTTCGATTATTTTGTTTGTAGAAGTTCGGTGTCTGTGCCTTATTCAGTAGACTCCAAGTAATGCAAACCCCAGACATCTAGATCCTGTGAGGATTGTGCTTGACGAGCCTCCCGTTTTCTTCCCCCAGTGTGAATGCTACCTCTACTCCTGCTGCATTGTCGCCTTCTGTGTTAACCACCCCGTCCAAGATTGAACCCATGAAAGCATTTGACTCCCGATTCACAGAGCGGTCCAAAGCCACCCCGGGTGCTCCTGTCTTGACCAGCATGACTCCGACAGCCATTGAAAGGTAGGTGGTAGCTGCAGGGACCCAGAGAGGCCAGGGAGGGGAGGTGCCGGCCAGCAGTACAGTGGCTGCATTCCAACTTACCCTCAGGCAGCCTGCCCTCCTGTGGGGGAGCAGATGCCAGTTCACAGGGGCAAGACTGTTGGGCCCTTAGTGAGCCACCAGCCCTGAGGAGAAAGGAGCAGCTGCTTAAAGTGGGAAGGTGGCAGGAAGGAGCCGTGGGGTGAGGACACAGAGGACAAAGGCACAGGGCCAGTCAGTGGAGGCTGTACTAAGAATAGTGGCACTGTCTGGGGGGAGCCCAGGGTTGCCCAGAAGAGAAGCAAGAGCCTGGTTAGAGAGGTAGAAGTCCTGGCTTGTGCTCAGAAACTGACCAGAGGTATTGAGCTGAGATAAAAGTGATGTAGGTAAGATCTTTGTGGAGTCAGATGGGCTTTGGAACTTACAGACTCTGTGCTACTTGTCTCTTCTGTGGGCCTGCACTAGCACATAAGTGCCAAGTCACATCTTGGAGTTTCAGCAGAATGTTCTCTTGAGGTGGTCAGGTCAGGTGTGTTCAGCCTCTGCTGTCGGCACCAAGCTTTTCCAGGGCCCCTCTGTGCACTCCTGCAAAGGCAGGGAGCTCACCGTGTGCCCAGTGAGTTAGGAGCTGGAGTTACATGGAGGCTGGGCGGGGCTTGAGAGCTGTCTTCTGGGGTCGAATCCCATTTCGAGGTGACCTTGGGAAGATACCCCCAGCCTGCGCCACCGTCAGCCAAGTACGGGGACATCGGTCAGAGACTCTTGAAGTAGCCACACAGCCAGCAGGTGCCCAATAAAAGGAGCGTTTAAATGAAGCCTATCTTTGGAGAGGATGGTGACTTAGTGTGCTGTGCTGCCCTGGGGCTTTGCCCATGATCTCAAACCTTATGTCTGGGCAGGGTTCGTTCTCCCTGGGGAACACTCCCTTCAGCCTAGCGTGGGAGGACCCTCCCTACAAGCCTGATGCTGTTTCTATGAACTTAGTGTGGAACCTTGTACTGTGCTCTGTAGTCTAATCATGATTATTTTAGCATAAAAATTTCAGTGTTATCTTTTTGTCTAGCAGTTTCTCTGTCCAGCAGTATGGAGGATCTGAAAACCTTCCTGCTACTAAGTATTTTGAAATGCTGGATTAAATGGAACTCATATCCCTGAAATGCACAACTAGTTCACAAGAAATTAAAGGCAGTACCAGGATCCAAAATCAAGAGTGAACCAAAAACCCAGATCAGTGGACAAGACCACACCGTGGGTACTGGGCTAGGGGGCTGCTGACCTGGTGACCAAGGTCCTTGAGTTTTAATGGCCACACCAAGCTGAGATAAAGCCTTGGGCCTGATCTATGTAAGGGTTGGAATTAAGCCACCAAGCATCAAGTCAAGCTGCTTGATGATGGACAGCTCCTGTGTGAAGCGGACACTAGAAAAATGAAGTTGGTAGTATAGGAACATGGCTCAGCCTGTCCTTGAGGTTAAGAAAACAGTGTTCCCTTAAGACTGTATAACCACAGGGCTGTCTTCATGTGGATTCGGGGTCAATTTAATACTACCTATGTTGTCTAGAAATCCCAAACCAAGACATGAAACAGGCCAGGTGCATTGGCTGACAGCAGCACTTTGGAAGGCCAAGGCGGGAGGGTCGCTTGAGGCCAGGAGTTTGGGAACAGCCTGAGCAACATAGTGAGACTCCATCTCTACAAAAAATTTAAAGATTAGCTGGGAGTGGTTGCATGCACTTACAGTCCTAGCTACTCGGGAAGCTGAGCCAGGAGGATTACTTTAGCCTAGCAGTTTAAGGTTGTAGAGTGCGATGATTGCATTACTGCACTCTAGCTCAGGTGACAGAGCAAGACCCTGTCTCAACAACAACAACAAAAATGAAATTAACACAGGGGATTCTAGTATAATTAACATCCAGAGGCACTTGACAGAGATGCACATCCCCCCTGCAGGGACGTTTCCCGACTCCAGGGTATATAACATTCCCACCAATAAAAAAACACTGTCTGTATGAATGTAAAATCAAAAGTAACAAGACATATGAAGAAACAGTCCATTGTGCACAAATGTCAGGAGACAGAATGAACAGGAGGTTTAGACTTCTATAAGTCTCCAATCACAGAATTGTTAGATGGCAACTACAAAAGAAATATGCTTAAAATCATTAAAGTCTTGAAAGATAAAATAGAAAATGTGAGGAAAGATAATATTCTCTCCTGTATGTAAAAATTAAAAGGGATCAAAGAACTAAATATAAAAGCTAACACTATAAAACTCTTAAAACGTAGAAATATATGTGACGTTGGATTAGGCAACTATTCCTTAGATAGGACACCTAAAACACAAGCAACTAAAGGAAAAAATAGATAAATTGGACTTCATCAAAATTAGTAACTTTTGTGCTTCAAAGGACACTATCAAGTGAAAGGACAGCCCACAGAACGGAAGAGAATGTTTGGAACTCTAACAACTCAGCAGTAAAAGAACTAAAATAATAACACAATTTTAAAATGAGCAAAGAATTCAAATAGTAATTTCTCCAAAGAAGATATACAAAATGGCCCATAAGCATATAAAAAAATACTCAACATCGTTAGCCATCAGGGAAATACAAATCAAAACCACAATGACATATCACTTCAAACCCACTTAGAACGGCTTCAATCAGAAGATCAGATGGTCAGATAAGAAATGTTGGTGAGGATAGGAAGAAATTGGAACCCTCACACTGCTGGTGGGAATGTAAAACCACTCAGCGGCTTTGGAAAACAGTCTGGCAATTACTTAAATGGTTAAACATAGAATTATCACATGACCCAGTAATTCCACAGCTAGGTAAACTCACAAGAGAATTGAAAACTTGTTCATGCAATAACTTGCATGCAAATGTTCATATCTGTACTACTCATGATCAAAAAGTGGAAACAATCCAAATATCTGTCAGCTGATGAATAGATAAACAAAACGTGGCATAGCCATACAATAAAATATTACTCAGCAATGAAAAGGAATGGGGTACTTACGTGAGCTACAACAGGGACAAACCTTGAAGATATTATGCTAAGTGAAAGAAAAAGGGCCACATGTTATATGATCCCATTTATATGAAATGTTCAGAATAGGCAAATCCATAGAGACAGAAAGTAGGATTGTGGTTGCAAGGGGCTAGAGGCGGGGAAGATGGGGAGTGATTGCTGATGGGTACAGAATTTGGTTTTGGAATTAGGAAAATGCTCTGGCATTAGATAGTTGTCATGGTTGTATAACCTTATGAATATACCCAAAACTATTGAATTCTGTACTTTAAAATGGTGAATTTTATGGTATATGAATTATATCTCAATAAAAAATAAAAAGAATAACACAACATCAAAAAAGACCAGACTGATTTGGAAATGAACCCAAAAAATACTTTCAGAAAAGAGAAATAATAATCATTGCAGGTTAAAAGTCAGTTGGCACATTTTGCAGGCTGGACGCAGTGGCTCACTCTGGGAGGCTGAGGCAGGAGGATCCCTTGAGGCCAGGAGCTCGAGACCAACCTGAGCAAGAGCGAGACCCCGTCTCTACTAAAAATGGAAAAACTAGCCAGATGTGGTGGTGCCTGTCATCCCAGCTACTTGGGAGGCTGAGGCAGAAGGATCGCTCGAGCCCAGGAGTTTGAGGTTGCAGCGAGCTATGATGATGCCACTGCACTCCAGCCTGGGTGACAGAGCAAGACCCTGTCTCAAAAAAAAAAAAAAAAAAAGTCAGTTGACATCTGAGGGCAGGTCAGAGTCAGCTGAAGAGAGCATTCAGGCTGAGGAGCTGGCAGGGGTGGAGGTGAGGAGATGGAGCCAAAGAGGAGTACAGGGAGGAGTCTCCCAAGGAGAACATGCTGCCGACAGTTGTCAAGGGGGAGGTGACAGGCTTACCAGAAGGTGCTGAAACCCTTTTTGGAAATGGAGCGAGTTCTGACCAGAAAAAATAAAATGAATGCCCCACCTGAGAGAAACTACAGAGTGCCATAGACAGAAAGTTCTCATTGAGGAAGCCACCCCATGTTTGCCTTGCTGGCTTCTACAACCCCCATCTCTTAGGTATGCACGTTCTGCTTGAGAAGCCCAGAGGATACCTCTTGAACTGGGCTGCTGGAGGCAATGTCTTGACTGCCCGTCCGAGGTCCTGACGCCACCAGGATTGGTCCCTCGGCAGCTGTGTCTCCACAGTCTCACAAGACTGTTCAGTCCTACGTATGGCACTAGCAAGACCTATATATTCCGGGGCCATCACGTTTGTCATTCTCAGCTTCGCACTCGAAAGTGGCAGTGAGGGAGCATTCACTTGGGGCTAAGCATCTTGCTTTGAAGACGGTGAGTGTCTGGTGAGCTTCCAAGAGTCTGGTGCTAAATTCTAAGAGGAGATTGGGTCGGATCCTCACATGAGGAAAATAAAATAAAACAAGGCCCAGTATCTTTAACAAAGGCGTTACAGAAAATGCAGCAGCTTTCTTACTATGGCTGTTTTTTTTGCATTGATTTTTAATTTAAAGCCAGGAGGAACCCTTTAAAACATCTGGCAGTGGAGGTTTTCCTTTGATGCGCAATGTCACATGGTGGTTAGCAGCAGCACTCAGGAGCCATACATGCCCTGCAGTTGAGTCCCAGCTTCCCACTTCTGGAGGGCAGAGGCAGTGATCTTGAGATACGTAGGCTTTCTGAGTCCATCCTCTTGGGCAGAATGGACCTCCCAGGAGAACCTGCCTCATAGGAGGTATCCCTGAAGCATTAGCCTGTAAAGCCTCTTCCTTTACCTTGTCTCATGGCGAGCAGCACATGTCAGCTCCTGCTGCTGTTCCTTCGTTGTTCCTTGCAGTGGTTGGGCAATGGGGCCCCTGCAGCCTGACTGGCACTTCTTAGCCAAGAGCCTCTGGTGACTCTGGGAGCCAGCTGCTAGCATCCCAGGTGCAGAGTGGCAGCCCTGGGTGAACCTGTGGGTCCTCCA